AAAAACGAATGCTTTTGTTGCAGATCATCCGAATTGCTTACGACTTGAAGTTAGACTAAAGGTCTTGTGATAGTCTTGTGGGTTCCTGTGATGGTCTTTGATTTTCTTGACCACAATACTGATTCTCACTGATGAAAATATGCCTGAATGAGTCCGACACCGTTCCATTTGAATGGGCTCCTCCAAGAATGCTTTATTCCGGTCTCAATTCTTGGGGGAGGCCTTGGTCATCACAGCCGTGAATTGGTTGGTCGTCACTGAGTTTCTCGAACAAATTAAACACTACTGATACCAAACTCACCCAAATAAAGAGAAACCAACTTTTTGTTTTGACTGCCAAATTGCGCCCTTTTGTGCTGTGACAAGAATATTGATGCTAGATTTTTAGTGTTCAGTTTCATAGAAAGGATTAAAAAATGGACTTGAGCAGGGTTCGAACTTGGTACCAACAGGAATCTGTGCACCAGTGCCTTACCAACTGGGCTGTCCAGCCCCCAGTGGGCTGTCCAGCGCCCAGCAGGCTGTCTGTAGCGTCTTTGTCCAACTAGTGCTAGTTCCAAGCCATAAACCAGCACGTAGTATTTGGCCAGGGACAAAATCCACAGGTTTAAAGTGATCAAGCCAGAGAAGAAAACAATTAGAGTTACAGATTTGTCATGCGGGAGGTCAGATTGTTTAATTTCATTTTCCGGATCGCAATCATGCAGTTTTTCATTTGAATTTTTTTTCAATGCTTCAGTCGTATGCTGGCCTGAAGGATGCTTTGAAAGTCTGCGCCGCCTACCGAGGCACCTACCTAGACATGAAAGACAAAGCTGACGACATCAACGCAGAGAAAGTGTCGGAAACAGCAGAAGCAATGTAAGGATTATGTGGAAATAAATGTACCCAATTATATCAGAGGCGTAACCCCCCAAACACCCTGTCCCTCCATACATAGTACATGCATGGTCGACTAAACACCTGTTGGACTAAACACCTGTTGGACTAAACACCTGTTGGACTAAACACCTGTTGGACTAAACACCTGTTGGACTAAACACCTGTTGGACTAAACACCTGTTGGACTAAACACCTGTTGGACTAAACACCTGTTGGACTAAACACCTGTTGGACTAAACACCTGTTGGACTAAACACCTGTTGGACTAAACACCTGTTGGACTAAACACCTGTTGGACTAAACACCTGTTGGACTAAACACCTGTTGGACTAAACACCTGTTCGACTAAACACNACAAACGAATGCTTTTGTTGCAGATCATCCGAATCGCTTATGACTTGAATTCAGACTTAAGGTCTTGTGATAGTCTTGTGAGTTCCTGTGATGGTCTTTGATTTTCTTGACCACAATACTGATCCTCACTGATGAAAATATGCCTGAATGAGTCTGACACCGTTCCATTTGAATGGGCTCCTCAAAGAATGCTGTATTCCGGTCTCGATTCTTGGGGGACACCTTGGTAATCACAGCCATGAATTGGTTGGTCGTCACTGAATTTCTCGAACAAATTAAACACTACTGATACCAAACTCACCCAAATAAAGAGAAACCAAATTTTTGTTTTGACTGCCAAATAGCGCCCTTTGGTGCTGTGACAAGAATATTGATGCTAGATTTTTAGTGTTCAGTTTCATAGAAAGGATTAAAAAAGGACCTGAGCAGGGTTCGAACCTGGTACCAACAGAAATCTGTGCACCAGTGCCTTACCAACTTGGCTGTCCAGCCCCCAGCGGGCTGTCTGTAGTGTCTTTTCCAACTAGTGCTAGTTCCAAACCATAAACCAGCACGTAGCATTTGGCCAGGGACAAAATCCACAGGTTTAAAGTGATCAAGCCAGAGCAGAAAACAATTAGAGTCATAGATTTGTCATGCGGGAGGTCAGATTGTTTAATTTCATTTTTCCGGATCGCAATCATGCTGTGTTTCATTTGACTTTTTTTTCAATGCTTCAGTCGTATGCGGGCCTGAAGAATGCTCTGAAAGTCTGCGCTGCCTACCGAGGCACCTACCTAGACATGAAAGACAAAGCTGACGACATCAACGCAGAGAAAGTGTCGGAAACAGCAGAAGCAATGTAAGGATTATGTGGAAATAAATGTACCCAATTATATCAGAGGTGTAACCTCCCAAACACCCTGTCCCTCCATACATAGTACATGCATGGTCCACTAAACACCTGTTGGACTAAACACCTGTTGGACTAAACACCTGTTGGACTAAACACCTGTTGGACTAAACACCTGTTGGACTAAACACCTGTTGGACTAAACACCTGTTGGACTAAACACCTGTTCGATTAAACACCTGCTCGACTAAACACCTGTTAACCAAACAGCTCTTAGCACATTTCTGCTCAGAATGACGTCACAGGGAAAGAGCAGTGAAGCAAACAGTGATTGATACCCAGACAAAAGACGCCTTTTGGGTGCATTGCGTGTGCATTTAAGTGTTTCGCTTTCACGGACACAAAAATTGACTCCGCTAACAAAACACACGTGTGTGTTACTTTCGCCTGGGAGTGATTTTGCCAGATGGGCAATGCTTGGCACAAGAGTTGATGCATATGGGAAGGTGCCGTTAGTCTGCCCTTGCACGTGTTAAAACTCCTTTCTTGTTTTTCCATTTTGGTCTAGGACCCTGAATCCTCCCAAGGGCGTCCTCTACAGCAGCAAGCTGTACAACACCAGCCAGCGCCGCCGTGTGCGGTCCTCCCACGGCATCTGGCGGGACACCAGCTCCTCGGATGTGGGTGTCATTCAGGAGGATGAGTGGACCGACTCGCAGTGGCCGCCGCGCAACGCACCGTGCTTCAACCTCATGAATGGCTTCATGGAAAGGTAAGCCATCGCAACGAATACTGGCAGCAAGCAGGACCTTGTCGATTGTCCATAGCGACAGTTAGGTTTCTTTTGTGAATTGTGAACGTTCTGATTTAATGGAAGCCAATAAGTCAAGAAGTAAAAAATACCCTCTACACGTAGAAACCCCTATTAAAGCATGAAATAACCAGGCCGATTTTCAAAGCCTTGGTCTTTGCTTCGGCCTTGCTACCCTTGGCCTCGGTAACCTTTGGACTCCAAGAATCAGTCGAGGCTGGATTGAGGCCACCCATTTTGAGTCAGTTCTCAGCTTTTACTTCCCTCCCCGCTTGAATGTTATCGTGACGAAGTACTTCGTCCCAACGTGCAAGTGCATGGATCATTTTTGTGTTCAAACACATGGCACGATACCTAGACTCCCTAATGACACGATGCAGCTACATGCATTTTTATCCCCAGGGAACATACTTATTTTCATCAATTGTTGCGTGAAAAGGACAGCTTTTGTGTTGCGTGAATTAGGCTACATGTACTCATTGAAAGTGCACTGTTATTTTCCGAATGGCCGGTACTAGCTGCCTGGGCATGCACGTATGGTGGCTGGTCAACATAGCAATTTGCATGCAATAGCTTCACGTGCCCCCGTGCACAGGGTGGGATGGGCACAGACTGTCCTTTTATATGCCATGTATTCATGGTTAGCATAAAGTGCCATTTTTAGTGCTTTTTCAAGAGGCATTACATGTGCAGTCGTTTTCCTAGTTCCGGATTTGTCCTAAGTCTGGATTGGTTGAAATGAAAACCTTCATGTACCTCTTTCGTGTTGTTCTTCAGTTCCATCCGTACATTCCAAGACAAGTTGAGCTTGAAGGGTGAAATGAAGGCTTCTTGTACAAAATTTGTTCTCGGAAAATGTCTAGAAAAGAAATTTTTGCCAGATTTCAGATTCGCACTTCGTCATTTTTGAACGGGAGCCCAACTTATTTCCACAGAAGTAGCAGAAATGTATGTGATGTAATGGGTTCATCAGCTGTGCAGCACTCAATTTTAACCATGTACATGTATGCATCTCTTTAAAGAAGTGTAGTTCTGAAAAGAACCAATGCGAGAGTATTCTCATAACTGGTTCTTTTCAGACCCCACTCCTTCAAAGAAGGGATACATGTGTATAGTTGTACCCAAAAGCTGTAGTCCATGACCATGCAAAGTTTCAAGTCACACTTAGCACAAGTTCTGGCTTGCTCTCTGTCAACATGATCAAGGACTTCTGACTTCCAGTCCCTGGATGTTGATATTCTTGTTTCTTCTCTCCATCCCCTGAAGATGCAACGACCTCCTGGAGCTGGTCCAGACCACCAGGCACTTCAACCTGCTCCAGATGGCGGCGGAGGTGGGCGGGGCCGGCACCAAGAGCCTGGACGCCCTGGTTCGGGAGATCCACGAGGAGTTCTCCGGCGCCATGGAGCGGTTCGGGGACGACGTGATGGACATCCTGGACATCACTGAGAGCCAGGCGTTTGAGAAGGCCTTCTTCAACTTCAGGTCCATCGTCAAGGTAGGGAAGTCTCAGACATTGCAGGATTTAGACAGATTCCACGTTTGGCTTCTTTCAAAGGGACTTCATATTCACTGACTGTAGTTCTAATCCTGATCTGAATAATACACATCTTATATTTTAGAGCCAGATTAACAAGCTCGGTTGAAGTATAACTTTTAGATGTGAATGATATTCAGGTGGAACTGTGTATAATATTTGTTCTGGTTGCCGTACCACCTCTGCCAACTGTTCCGATTTCAATTGGAACTGTTCCGATTTTCAAGTTTTCAAAGGCCTAAAAATTGGAACAGTTCCGATTTCCATAGAAAAGAGAAAAAAAATTGAAGTCCCGCAAAAGAGGGCACTGTCTGCAAAAGAGAGGGCGCTATCTCCTATGTCAAAATGGCAGTTGTTGTGTACATGTGTGTATTAGGTATTTTCGTCATGAGGCCGCTTTTATTGCTGTGGGCTCCTTCATTGAGTGTTTTGATTGCTGAATTTTAGCAGGTATGCTGTACTTAATTATTTTGTCATTAAAATCTGTCGAACTTGCAAGGACCTGGAGAGAAGACTAGCCACCGTGCTGCGCCAGAGCTTCCAGCAGTGCCCCACCATCGGGGCCCAGCTCCGCCTCCTGGAGGTCTTCGAGGGGGTGAGCGGCCGGGAGATGGTGCAGGAGTACCTGCGGGACAAGGACCAGCAGCTGGTGGCTGCCTTCAGCCGGGAGCTGATTGCTGTCCGCTCCATGTTTCTGGCCCGCCGCAATGACCCACCAGGCCACGCCAACTTGCCGCCGGTTGTCAGCCGGCTGACCTGGGTGGGGGCACTCAAGAAGCGGATCCAGGTAGGTACCCGGGATCCCGAGACGGTATCCTGGTCAGGGGGTAAAACTGTTGAGCATGTCGTGAAACAACACTTGGACGTTGCATACTTTCCGACTGTTCTACCGCAGGGCCATCTGTTTTGTTATCATTTTTCTCGAGGCTATGGACTCTGTACTAGGCGAGGGAGAGGGGGTTTGATCAAGGTACTGTGCATGTTTTTCAAGAAATATGAGGACAAAAGCCAGGACAGAGGTTGGCTTTCCCTTTCAATTTGCACCCCGTAGGAGAGAGAGAGGGAATCCAAAAAACGGAGTAAGCTTTTGAAAATGTAAAAAGAAAAATTGCCCCTTGTGTGCCGAAATGAAAGTGGAGGTTGTCAGAACATGCCTCAAGACTTGTATCTCGTTGTTACATCCTCAACTTGCCTCACTCTCTCCTGGTTTCCCATAGCAACCCATGGAGAAGCTAAAGCGCATCAGCCCCCACTCCCTGGAGGGCGACGCCGGCTGGCACCTGCGAGACATCTTCGCCGACACCATGAAAGACTTTGAAGCCTACCAGCAGACCACCATCAGCAAGTGGCAGGACCAGCTGCATACGGAGCTCAGGGACCGGCTAAAGCAACCACTCCTGGTATAAAAGGGGACCCCAAAAAAAGAATGCTTCCCTCAAACTGCAGGAATGCCCACAGTTAATGGTTGAAATTAAACCCGGAGAGATTGCAGCGTTCTGCATAACCCAAAATTATAGCAGGGCGGCACACAATGTGAGCGCGGAGCGCAAAGCCATTACGGCGTGGGGTCCAGAGTCCGCTCAAGGGCCCCAGGAAATTTTGGATCCTAGATTCTCTGTGGTGCAATCTGAGGTATTTCCTGGGCACTTTCTTCTGACTCCTCGAATCAAATTTACTTGTGGTAATAATTTGAAAGGAAGGCAAGATTGTTATCGGGAGGTTATCAAAAGTTGATTTTTTTTTCTGGGGCATTTTCTTTTTTTTACCGATTGGAACTTGCCATCGAGCAGATGGTTTGGGATTAGATGTGTGTACGTGAGCACAGCGCGAGTGGATGATTACAGTCGCTTCTCAAAAATAACTCCAGGGTCAGATTCCAGAGACAAAACCCTATAACTCCGGTGAAATATGGTCAGCAGTCCACCTCTGAGAAATGGGTCTGTCAGGCAAGCTGTCATTTTGAGGAAAACAGTGAAAGAAGGCCATTTCCAATGATGCATCTAAAGATTTAGGTTTGGAGAATTGCCATTACAGAAGCAAACGCAAGCGTTGGCATGACACATGTGCGCTGGTGCTATAATTTGTCAGTGTAGTACCTCTGCATTCGACTGAACTCAAGGTCGTATCTCAGATGCTAAATTCAGGAGTAATTCAAAACATGACTCAGCAACTTTTGATCTGATCAAAATCCTAGGATATCATTTTTCTCAGATTATATAGTATTCACTGAGCTGAGCTGAGACATGAGACGTCTGTTAGATTTATTTTCAGTAATTTTGTTGCCTCACATTAACATAATGCACAAATGACAAGTGATGGACTGTACCTTTAAACCAGACATAATGATGATCATTGCCTTCTACTTCAAAATGAAGCAATCTGTTTGGATTCCTTTCTTCTCAGGTTGCCGATGATTATGACCAGGAGGTGGACTACCGCCCCCAGGTCATCCACGTCAACCTGGACCCCGCGCTCCTGCTCCTGCTGCGGGAGGTGCACTACCTGCAGCAGCCGCCGTTCGCCGTCAAGCTGCAGGACAGCGTGCGGGACCTGCTGCGCCACACGGACGCCGCCGCCCTGCGCACCACGGCCGCCCGGCTGGAGACCATCGTGTCCAAGTACAACGCGGCCATGCGCTCGCTGGTGGACTTTGAGCAGCCGCTGTTTGAGAGGAAACTGGGCAAGATCGACCACGTGAGTTTGTAGTGCAACTCTTCTTTCAACGGGAGGCCAAATGTACCTATATGGGTTTTTGGGGGGAGTGTGGAATAACAATTAGTATAATGGAAGATCTCACACACGCAATTCCATCACTGATCATTTCAATTTACCGAATAAAATGCAAAGATAATCAATTTACAAAATGAAATCGTACAATAGAGTCTGGTTCTTTAAATTTAACATTTTCAAATGAATAAACCACGTTCGGGAATCTGACTTCAGTTGGGTCCCCCACAAATAAGTCTGTTTTTCCCCTTCAACCATCTAAGATTTTCAGTTTACTGTGCTATACCCCTCCAAGGGGACACAAGATTCAGATAAAGTGCCAAAACTATATTTGAGGTCGACTTCCAGGGGCAAATTTCATAGAGCTGCTTAAGCACAAAATTTCTTAACTTTAACAGTCCCAAATCCTCCAATTTCAATACGATTTTACATACGCCCTAGAGGGTTAGAGGGTTAAGCATGAAAAAAACTTGCTTAAAATATCAAAGGTTACCAGCTTAAACCCTTTTGGATTGTCATGCTAACCAAAAGACGGCTAAATGCGATCCCAAAACAATATACATCACGTGGAGTTTTGGCTGGTTACCCGATTTATCAAGCAAGGTGCATAAGTAGCTCTATGAAATTGGCCCCTGGTCATATCAGGGAATGTTAACATGCTTCCTTTGTCTTCAGCTCTTGGAGCAAGGTCTAAGCCACTACACCTGGAAGACCACGGAGAGCGCTGACTTCATCGAGCTGGCCTCGGCCCTGGTCGGGGCCGACCTGCACCGCACCCTGGCCATCGTCCAGAGCAACTGCCAGGAGATGGTGGACATCGCCCAGTCCTGGTCCAGCGGCACCCTGGATGTCTTTGCCTGCCGGGACCCAGACGCCAGCTACCACATGGTCCGCCTGCTGGCCTGGCAGAGGTCTGCGTTGCACCTGTGAAAGAGAAATGGGGATGGAGCAATGTTGCTTAGCGACAAACTCTCACTTTTGACACATTCTCCACGTTCAGTCACATGATTTGAATCTTTCACTTCCTGTGATATATGAAATACACATTTTCTGTTCTTAAAATCCAATCTGAACTTTTAGAAAATATTCCAATTTGATGCTTTGGGGGATATCTCCATGGACAAAAGTGACTTTGGCCCCATTTTCACAATTCAAAACGTTCATTGTTTGAACTGTTTTTTTTTTCTGTTTTAATAATAGCGAACTTAATGAGGATCACGAGAGACTGGTCAAACCGTCGGGACAGCGAATTCACCACCTGCTAGGAAATTCATTTGAGGTAGGTGTTTATAAAGCCACGTTCACTTACACTATGGTGTTTATAAAGCCACGTTCAGTTACACTATGGTGTTTATAAAGCCACGTTCACTTGCACTATGGTGTTTGTCAAGCCACGTTCAGTTACATTATGGTGTTTATAAAGCCACGTTCAATTACACTATGGTGTTTATAAAGCCACTTTCAATTACACTATAGTGTTTATAAAGCCACGTTCAATTACACTATGGTGTTTATAAAGCCACGTTCAGTTACACTATGGTGTTTGTAAAGCCACGTTCAATTACACTGTGGTGTTTATAAAGCCACGTTCAGTTACACTATGTAGAAATCAAATAGCATTGTGGTTTGTAGTCTGGTGCGTTAATCTCACATGCGCCCATTTTAGAATTTGCAGTTATGGTAATAGCTACTTATTTCATGACGGTGGTGCCGTTTCACTACTTGAATTCATCGTCAGGACTGGCTGACCTCCTACAAGTTTTCTTACCCACCGGCGTTCCAGTACGCTTTTGTCGTTTTTAAACTTGAAATTGAGCAAGTCAATTAGAAAGCATCGCATATTATTCCAGTAGCGTACATGGAGCTGCCGTTGCATCATTTGGTTTTTACATCAAATTGAGTGAGCAACAGATAGCATAGAGGTCTTTTCACGTGACGTAACATAACGAGCAAAGGTGTTTTAGGAAGCACTCCATATATCTGGATGCACGTGCATTTTCGAAGCTGTGTATTTCTACTGGCAGTTTCATGTATGCCAGGATATTGAGAGACGTTTGCGCACACATCTGTGTAAACTGGACGCTGACCATCAAAAATCACGTTAGTGAAATCTTCTATATAAATGTCACATGATTTTGAGGTCAAAAAGTTGGCCTGACGCTAGGCCTGTCACAGTCCAAACAAAACCCCAAACCTCTGAATCCCTAAACTTTGACCCACAACCCCGCATTCCCCCAAAAGGTTTCTCCATGGCCTTCCATTCCTTCACACATGTCCTTTGCTACCCCACAGGCCGTCCAGATCAGCAGGGCTTCGCCCGCCTGGGAGGACTATGTGGACCACATTGACGCCTTGGTGCTGGACGGTCTCAAACAGTCCACCCTGAAGAGCCTCAGGTCCATGCTAAACACCCTGGTCCACTCTAATGTCGCAGAGGTAAGACACGATCTGCATTTCTGCCAATACTCGGCTTTGTGTTTGGTTTGGCTCGATTTTGGAAGCCCTTTACTTTAAAGTTGTCAGGGCAGACATAAGCCATATTCTGGCAATGCAGCATTGAACTTCAAACGATCGACCCAAAGTGGGGCCACCTGTCTGCCTGTCCCGAGTGGACTGATTCCCGGCCACAAGTCCACAGGTTAGAAGGGCAATTTGCGTAAGGAACCAGATAAATTCGTGGGTAGCTTGTACCCGGTGACAGATCTGTTACAACTGCGTAATGTTGATGTCGAACGCAAACAGTTGACGCTTCAACGTGAGCAAACGTAGTGTCTGAATCGGAAAATTGCTGAGAAAAGACCTGATCTGTTGTGGCTCCGAACCCGAATTACGTATGAGATTCAGTTGGGCTATGAACCTAGCTGGAAATTTGTGTAGATGTGGACACATGTTCTGGTCACAAACTTCAAAGACACACACTACTGGTTCATCAACAGCTAAACCCGGATCTTGTCAAAATACTGGTACTAAAACTCTTGTCACTGTTTACATTGGGTGTGTGGCCGTACATAAGTGGGCATTTCAAAAACTTGATTTGTTTGTTGTTTAGACGAGTTGTGTTATTTCTGGTAACTGCATATATGTGAAGGACATTGACTCCAATCTAAAGTTCCTATAGATACAAATGAGTGGTAATTAAAATTACCTTGTCATTTCTGAAAAAAAAGGTTTGTAATGGAAAAGGTGCATATTATTCTCAACCAAACTTCGTGCTTGTTTTAAATGGTGAAAACTCTCAAGTAGCAGAGAATTGGCGCAATAAATGTAGTTTGCTGTTCCTGAGATGAGTTAATTTTTCAATGACACGTCCCCTCCATTCAAGTGGCAAACAGGACTTGCCCCATCCCCGGAATTGTTGAAATTAGTCCCCCTGTTGCAAGCAGGCAGAACGTTTGAAAGCTACTTTGCTGAGCCGTGGTTAGGGACTTCAAAAGTAAAAACCAACGTGAATAGACTGGCCACTCCTTCTGGAGACGGTGTCAAGCAGTCTCATTAACTGAAAATACAGAACTATAGGCATTGTGAAACAGCTTTATTCGTGAACCAACAAGGCCCGGTTTTGAAAGCTACCCCAATTTTTAAACTGATGTGTGTAGACTGACAACTAGGGAAACGATGTCAAGCACTTTCAGGACTGCATGTAGCCTGTGGATGGAGTTTTTACTACAAAATCCGGAGCTGTGGCTGTTCTAACATCATCTTATATCCGTGAACAAACTACAACAGGTTTTGAAAGGCACGTCGCAAATTGTCCAGGGATCCTGAATAGTCAAAAGGAGGCATTTATGTATTGACCAAGTTGGGATCACTGAGCAGCTCTTACTTGGAGAGAGTGGTGGAATAATGTCCGATAGTTGTGACAGCACTTGAGTCAAAAACATGTAAAAGAAAACATGGGCAATTTGTAGGGTTTTGTTTGAATTTTTCTTCCTTGACATTTTTGAATGATGATGTCAGTGTTGCAGTGGAGTGTTTTTGAGCAGTGAGTTGATTGCAAGACTAGTTACCGTAGGGTTGGCCACAGCTAGAGAACAATGGAAGTTAGTGGTAAACGCACAAAGGAAGGTTGACAAAATAACTCAAAGCCTTCAGACACTTTCGGTTTTTGTAAAACTTAAATTTTAAGGAGGAAAGTAGTTGATGGTCTGTCACCATTATATTTGTAATCTTCCCTTTGTACATTTTCCATTCACAGCTCATGTTCTTCAGCTTTGTTCCCCCATCCCATTATCTAGTTCAATACATGTATTTGGCAAAGAACTAGTCCTGGAAAAGCAATCGACTGTTGTACAAAACCTGTAGGGATTATTCTTACTCAATGCATAACGACCAGAAAAACGTTTAATATGGGCACAGTTTGTGTCAATTAAACTCTTTTAAACCAGTTGTTGTGTCTGTGGAACATGTTAAATCCTATCGCGAAAAGTGTGTAAAATGCAGAACAATTTGCACAGAAATAAGTGTAGATGTGGAAGCCACGGGTATACGAAAGATGTCACATTCACAGCTACAGCGCCCTCTGTTGTCCAGAGAAGGATGGACAGTTTTAAATGTTGGAAAAAAGTGCACTTCTCAATACAAACAACCACAGAAAAGGATGTCAGATTATACAGAATGTCCACCGATGGCTGGAGGAATTCAAGAACCGCGGCTCGCTGGTCAAGATGCTCAACCATGATGCGGAGGTCAGAGGGGAAAAAAAGCCAAACTGGTGCACTTCTCAATACAAACAACCACAGAAAAGGATGTCAGATTATACAGACATGCAACTTTTCCTCGGATCCGCTGATTTCCTCGTTTTTCACTTCCGACTTGCGCCATTGAAAATTGAAAAAATACGGTACAAATTGTTGCAAAAATGGGAGTTTCCTCGTTTTTGGTTTCTTCCAAGTTGGATGCCTGCAGATAGTTTCATACATTAAAGAAGAGTATGACGCTGCCAGGAATGTGCCACTCAGAAAAGTTTGACTTCTAGAACTCTTTGAAATAATTAAAAAGTTTGACATTATACAACATTTGGGCTTGTCACCAACATGTAGATGTATAGTACGGGCTATTTTGAAAATATTTCTTAATTTTTTTTTTTTTTGCTAAACTTTCCTAACTTTTCAGCTGTGTGAAACAGTATTGTATTTGAGTCCATCACTAGTCCTTACACAAGGCCAGTCACGAGTATTACACAGGGTTAACAATGACAAAGGAATGCTGTTAGCGCAGGTCATTTGAATAGCTTGTGAATTGACTGAATGACTTGTGATGGACTTAGGGAGCGTTTCATAATTGTTGAAGGCGGTATTTACTGCGGTACGGCTGTATTTTTAGCGGCACCGCACTAGTTGCCCAAAAGGGCTTAATGCTGGTACCGCAAAAAATACAGCGGTACCGCAGTAAATACCGCCTTCTGTAATTAGGAAACGTTCCCTTACAGGGACTTTTGATGGACTCCAATACAGCACTGGTGTGAAAGATCGTCCCAGTTTTTAAAAGAAACACCCCAGCCGGTTTCCCTCCTACATCTTCCATAGCCCATGTTGAATCTTGTAAATTCGAAACGCGTCCTGTTTGATTTTTCCCATCAGGCTCAGGGGACCGTGGTGCCCGTCCTGACCATCCGTATGGAGCTGATTGAAAACGTCGTGTCCTTCACCCCTCCGCTGGACCAGGGCACAGCGGTCACCAGCGTCCTGGAGAATGTCCACCGGTGGCTGGAGGAATTCAAGAACCGCGGCTCCCTGGTCAAGATGCTCAACCATGATGCGGAGGTCAGAGGAAAAAAAAAGCCCAACTGGTTCAATTTAATTCTGAAGCCGTTAGTCTAGTCTTCCTGTTTTTGCTGGTACAGTGTTAAGATTTGATTCGGCAGTGCCGCTTCAACAGTTTTATTGCAATTTTTCCCCAAATTGTAGGAACCATTTTTTTTTGTATTGTGGATGCCAAGATGTTCACGAGGGGCCCATTTCATAGAGCTGCTTAAAGCTCAAATTTGCTTAAGCGCAAAAAACTTTGCTTATTGAAAAAAACAAAGGTCACCAGCTCAAAATCTATGTGATTGTCATGCTAACCCAAAGACAGGTGAATACCATTCCAAAACAATATACAGTACGTGGAGTTTTGGCTGGTAACCTGATTTGTCAAGTAAGGTTGTTTCACGCTTAAGCAAATTTTGTGCTTATAAGCAGCTCTATGAAATTGGCCCCAGGTTGTACCCAGATATTCCCAAGGGTGGGTTTTCCATCTTGTTTAAAGTGGAAACCCCTTATTTTTGTGCTCAATTCAGAGTTGAGTCCTGCAGGAGTAGAGTGATCAGTATTTGAATCGCAGATCAAATGGCACAGAATCAGTGAAGTAGACGCTTTTCTGTTTTCTTGTCGTCGTGTTTGCAGGGAGGCTACCAGCGGTACATCAGCTTGGACGAGGAGGTACAGCAGCTGTGCGAGCAGATTGTTCAGCTGGTCAAAGAGAACGGCGACGAGTGCATGGTGAATGACTTCCACAATAGACCTTATTCACGGGGATGCCATTTCTTGTTATGTTCCCAGAATCTATCTTATTCATTGTAATCTATTAAATGGGGTGGTGCCAGACTATTTAGGGTTCCACGCCTCACTTTATTTTTTGGTTTTTTTTTTCAAATCTGGCTTAAAACATTTAGATATTATTTATCACATGTTTTAAGTTCTTCAGCATAAATGACATTCATTTGTAGTAAGTTTTATTTCAGCGCTTTCATTTTCATTCTCGGATGCCAAAATAAAAAAAAGTTGACCTCACTTTCAATTCAACATGGCCAACTTGTGAATAAGGACAGTTGCAGGCCTTCAAAATGAAACGAGCATATCAACCTTTCCTGAGCTTTTATTCTCGGTTGATTTTTTTAAACTGCAGTAAACACAACGTTGCACAATGGTTTATTCATGTGGCTCGTTATTATTCATTTTGGGGTCTAATGTTTTTCTGTTAGAAATTACTGGAGCTGTTCAAGAATTACACCTTCCTGTGGATGCACAACATCAACGAGACGTTTGACGAGTTCCTGCAGGGCCGTCTGAGCTCCAACCCCATGAGGGACCTGGAGAAGCTGGGTCCCTCGGCCGGGATGCGATCTGCAGCCTCGGAGCGCTCGCTGCGCTCTGCCCAGAGCGGACGGTAAAGATCGTTCGTGACCTGATCCTTTTTTTGGTCCTCTTTATCTCGGACTCTGCTGAAGACTTTGTCAACTTCGTGACAAAGAAAATGTTTGAGAGGTCCAAGGAATGGTCAAGATGTACATCAGACCTCTTTCAGAAAAACTCCTTCGTACCAGGCAGATTACCTTCTAAACGCTTTATTAGCAGGAATGAAAATATTGATGGATGGAGGGTTGGGACTTAAACTTTCCTTCTTATTCAGCAGAATGTTGTATTGACAGTGCTTTTATGAACGAGATTTGACTCCTTAAGCAACCACAGACTGATGATCTGTCTAAAGGTACAGACTAAAAACAAAAGCAAATCAAGACTGAATTGTTTAACGTTCGTCATGTGAGATGCCATGCTCACGGGGAACTGCATGCGCAGCAAACCCTAATGTTGCGATGTTGGACTTGAGCTCTACTGTACTGACGGTGGCTGTAAACCATCACAGTGCTTCAAATTTTCAAATCTTTCAGCGCCAGTTCAGCGTCCCAGTACAGCATCGGGGCCAAGGGGGCCATGGGCACGGCTGAGAAGTTCTTCCTGACGCCCAAGGACACCAGCGAGTATGACAACGTGCCGCCACTGGACATGTTTGATGCCGAAATCGACGTGTACAGGGTAAAAGACCTCTCGATTCTCAAATCACAGCATATGCCATGTTAAACGTTTGTCCTGTTGCCCATGTTCTTAAGCAAGATGCGTCTTGCCTCCCGTCATTTGAAGAGGAATGGGACGCATGCAAGATCTGCGCGAGAACACGGAGCCACTTCAGAAATGGCTTCTAACTCCGGTCTTTGGATGAGAATTTTCATGTTTTGCAGAAAACAAAGAAACAAACAAGAACTTCCCACCAACGGTGCAGAGCGGACTTCTTTTTAAAGAGGAATTTACATTCCTATAATTTCTTCCCTGCCATGCAGACTGCCAGGGATGAGATTGCAAGCATCTTTGACTACAGAGATGTGGGATGGATACGAGTGGATCTACAGCCAATCAAACAAGTCCTGACGACCTACGCCAGTCGCTGGATGTGGACTTTCACTAAATACCTCACCGATCAGGTAAACGACGCAAAACCTTCACTAGACTATTAGAAGCCACAACACTTCTCTTTACACAATAGGGAGCCAGAACGGTTCGCTGCTGTCCGCTCTGAGTGCAACAAAAGAGCGGGCGTTTATAATGGAGATCGATGGCACGTTTGACGCGAAGCAAGCAGAGGACGCGTAACGAATTTATTCCTTAATGTATGGTCTTTGCGTACACGCAGAACGCGTGCAAGAACCCGCTTGGAGAACTTACAACCATCTGTCTTTCTTTTGCCGCTTGGGGTTGCACTTCAATTCGGGGCGGATATGCCGCAGCAGTGGTCCTGTCTTTTTGCCTGAAGAACTTTCAAGTGGTTTTTTCAAGGAACAAAAATGGAAATACAAATTAAGTTTTGAATTGCGTTAAAACTGGAATCGACTGCCCGTAGACAAGTTGACTTTGGACATTGTTAGGCTATTAAAGGGTTTACAACTTTTTGTTGTGTTAAAGTTTCAAACTTGCACACAAGAAACTGCCGCAAAAATTCCCCAAACTGGGTTTTCGCAGCAAGAACCAAGTTTGTCGGCCAAGCGAGAACATTGACAACTTTAGGAAAGTTCCAATCTTTCTGCCACGCTTCCTTCACTTGTGTAGGTGACTGAGCTACTAACGGATCTGGACTCCTTCCTCAAGCGCATCGAGCCGGAGATCGAGAGCATCTCGGGCGAGGAGCGGGACACGGCCTCCTTCATGCGGATGATGCGCATCTTCAACGAGGTGTCAGCCAAGCAGCAGGAGATGGACGGCCAGTTCACGGCCATGAACCGCACCGTGCTGCTACTCAAGAAGTACGCACAGGCCCTGCCCGACCGCACCAGGGCACTGTACGACGCCGCCCCTGGGCGCTGGAACAACCTGAAGACCAAAGTGTCACTTGCGAAGCAGAGACTGGGGCCTCGGATACAGGAGGAGTCGGCCAGCATCACAAAGGTGAGATGCTCTCAGAGACAGTCTCGAAAAAGTATAGTGTCAGGAGTTGCGAATAAAAAGGTGCCATTGAGGCTCTGGTCTCTCTATGAACAGCAACACGTTACTTTAACAACCTCAAAACCAAAATGTTGCAGGCTAGTGGGAAATTAGGACCACGGATACAAGAGGAATTGACCATAATGATAAAGGTAAGGTGCCCAAGAGATGGTCGTTAAAAGTTGAGTGGGAAAACAAAGTGGTATTTATTAAACTTCAAAAGCGACGTGTCGTTTAAGAGTTAAACAGGCTTGGCCTGTAAAACAGAACAGTTGGGTCGGTCCTACCAAGGTAAGATGCTGAACTGGACTGAGGTACTGTGTGGAGTTGCACCAGTGCCTCAAGACCAAAATACCAGTACAACTGGCAAGACAGAGGTACTAAGGCCGCATAATTAGGAGGATTTTGCAAGGACTTAACATTAAGAGTAAGTCTCTTAAAGTTACAATATTAAGGGTGTGGAGTAGAAAGGTACGATTTAAGCTCAGGCCTCACTCTTAGGCAGTGGGTCCGTCATTGCTCGAACAACCTCAAGACCAACAAAGGCTGGCGGCTAGCACCCTGAATGCTGGATACTTAGAGACAAGATTCAGGATGCGGAGTTTAGGGTCAATCCTTGACCTGCTCTAGTTTGCTGGAACGACTTCATGTCTAAAGGTGTCTGTCTAAACAAAGGCTGGGCCTTTATAGAGGGAAGACATGTAAAGTGGCTGGAAGTACTTTGCCGTTTTAGGGGGCTCAACATCCAGCTGTTTCAGGAGACCGTTTGAGATGATTGAACATTGGAATATTCAAACTCTGATAAAGATGCACTTTTCAGGACAGGTATTTCCTAAGTGGTGATTTATCCCATTGTCCATATCGTTGGGCAAAGGCATCCGCTGGCTTTGAATTAACGTTTACACCTTTTTTACATGTAGAACATAACTTTGGATCCAATATAATGGAATTATCTTCCATTTATTTCAAGGATTTTCAACTCTGAATATTCAATTTTCAAACTAAAATATTTATATATTCCATAATTTGAATATTTGAAATGAAATACCTTATATTCAATTATTCAAATATTCAGCTCACCCTAGGCCCAACCAAACTGGCTGAATACTATTTCTAATCTATTGAATACTATTTTGCACTTTTTCAGGACCTTGCCTCTTTTGGCGAGCGAGTGGAGACCCTCCAGAGGGCGCTCTCCTCCTCAGAGATCTACACCTATGACTGCCAGATCCAGGCTGCTTTCAAGGAGATCGCCAGGTTCATGCAGCTGCTGGAAAAACTGGACAACGAAGCTCAGGTGACTCACTGTGTTCATGAATTATTCAGATGCTTTATTATGAATAATTCAAATTGGGTGATTTGTTTTTGATCCATCTCGTTGACTTTTTGGTAATTTTTTGATGTCATAAGTATTGGATAATGAAAATTTACAGTCAGCCCAAAAAATGCACTTCTAGTTTTCTGACTTTGTTTCTACTGTAAATTTGAAAAAATTAAGAAACTCAAAGATTCTAATATTTTGAAACATCAGTTAACTTTTGTTTTATTTCAATTGAAGTTTTGTGAAATTTCCAAACGTGCTGCACTGGAAAATAACTTCATTAGTTTAACTCATTACAGCATTGTTGAATTTATTCTAGTTCCCTGCACCCCCCGTTTATAAAATCAGTCCTTGCCCACAATCATCCACAAGCTTTTCATCATGAATATTTATGAACATGCATATCAAATAGTCACAGCCTAGAGTCTGCAAATGTCGAGCTTTAATCATGGCCAAAGTGTTGACGTAGTTCTCTCATCCATATTCATGAAGGAACCATGAATAATTCCAAAATACTAATGATGCCATGATTATTAATATACATTACGCATGCCTCCAAGCAGGTTATGAATAGCTTTCTAGGAGGGCGGGTGAGCATTGTTTCATATGCATGGCGTGGGATGATGTTGCTTCTAGAACTTGTAGATTTGGCCAAATTATCTTTAGAATTTCAGTTTACGTGATGCTGCTTTTTTTCTGTATACTGCATTGCATGGCATTGTAAAAACGTGAATTTAAATTTGTAGTCGATAAATCCTTCATGTCCTTTAAGGCTGCAAGACCTTCACAAATTCGATTTGGCTGCAATTCTGTGTTCTTCTTCAACCAAACTGTACATAGGATCCATCTAGACTGCATTCGTTCTGCTGTCCAATGCATGGCAGGCTATTTATCTATTAATGACTTCATTTTGTTCTTTGTGTGGCTAAGCTCTGTGTGTAGGGCTTATCATTCTCGGGGATAAACCCAGTTCATGGCTTTCGTGCCTTTGCTGAAAGTTGCTTGTGAGCCTCAATTTGAATTCACTGTACACCTCTACATGTATCCATTTGTCAAAGAGATCTAGAACTTTTAACACTTCCAATTTTATATTTGTGATAGGCGATGCTTGATTTCGAGATTAGGCCAGAAAGAGATAGATCTCTGAATTTTTAGACCTGTACAACAGTTTGTGAATCCCTGGAATACGGCCGTTTCACAACAAGGCGCCACCAAGAGTTTGCAACACATTGGCCAATCACAATGCGTGAAAGTTGTCGACCCAAAGCGCGTTTAGAAAGGGTCGACAAATTTCGAGCGCTGTGATTGGCCAATGCATTGCAAACTCTAGGAGGCGCCCTATTGTGAAACGGCCGTATTGGGGAAGGGTAATTACACTGCCGAAGCACATGCCGTATATGGTCATAACTTACATATATCATAACATGAAACATTTGAAATGTTCTTTATGTTTCCATGCTTTTGAGGTTGTCAGTAGTCTGTCTCTTGAGGAATGTCTTGGCTTTATTGCTCTTGCTTTCTATTTGCATCCTCTTGAGTTCAACCAAATTAATGCATGGTTTGATTCACAGTGGCCAGCAGACTGTAGTTGTAGTCAATTTGTTCCTTGGAAATGTAGAAAGAAGGCCCTTTGCATGTCTTGAAATTAGACTAGAGATTAGAAGTCGTCTTGTTTCACTTTTGAGACGGCACTGCCTTGAATAACAGGTAGCAACTTGAAAGTGCATATGTCTTTGGAGCAATCTTCAAAAATTGATTTGGTCCTGTCTTATTACCCTCGGAATAATGATGTAAAATAGGTCTGAAATTAGCTATAC